TGCGGAGGGACTCAGCCACGCGTGACTTGCGGGCCGAGAGGAAGGAAGAGCGCCTGCTCTTCCAGCCAAACGACAGGCGGACTCGAACCTCCGGGACAGCGGGCGTTTTAACACCAGCGTTGATGCCGTGCCCCCTCCCCCCAAGCTGGGCCGGTCCCTCCTTCCCTTTCCTGGGCTGGCACGACTGGCAGCGGGCAGACCAGCCCGTGATCGGCAACCCTCGGAGGATGCCAGACATCTAAGCTCTTGCAAGGAGCTGTCTGTTCGCAACAGAAAGATTTTATTCCTTCTCTCCCTGCAGGCTAGTCCCGTCTTCCCCACGCACTCCCGCGTGAGCCCCCGTCTCCTTAGAAGCACACAGCCCCAGGTGTTTGCACGACAGAGACCGCAGAGCATCTGCAGGTGCAGAGGGGGGAAAAAAAGCAGAAAGATGAAGCACCAGTTGAAGGGTCTCCTTTACAGTTTCAGTCCTTTTATCGAAGAGATTGTGATATTGCCTTCCCTTATCTCTAGTAGGATCTCTCCTTGCAGCAGGTCAGCACAGGAAGGGAAAAGAGGTTCCTCCTAAGGGAGAAAATAAATCATAATTCCTATCCTTCCCCCACCCTCCCTGGCAGCATAGGGATTTCAGCAGAAACAGAAAAATGCATCGCTAAAGCAGCAACAGGTGAAGTAACACTCTACTTGAATACCAGTATCTGACTTAAAGTGTTTAACGGGAGGAAGGATGCTAAGACTAGCTCAGTAAAGAAACATCATGCTCCTTAATAGAGACAAATTTAACTTTTAAAGCTAATATTGTGCAGGCACTAGGGAAAATAATCAGTATTCTGTTTTGAGAGGCTATCATTAACATTTAGTATATGCAACCATTTGAGAGTAAGGTAAAGTTGACAAATACAAACCAAACCAAACCAACTCGAACTAACCCACACCACAATGCACACACCAGAAAGCAGAATTTCAGAATGCTGCCTAAGGCTCACTGTTAATTTAAAGAGAAGAGGTCACTTCATTTATATGCCTTTAAAGTCTAGAGTCATCTTCTTAAAACTGAATATTCAAGTTTGGAGTCAGCTAAGGCTGAGGACATTTTTTCAAGTCTCACAGGGGAAGGTGATATTTAACATTTTTTTAAAATACCATGGAGATCACATGGCTTTTTAAAATTGGCCTTTAAAAGGCAGAAACAATACTGTTACAGTTCAACCTTTTTTCATTTTATTAGCACAAAATCATGTACAAAGTGAAGACAAAGAGAGGAATGTACATGTGTACTTAGAACATGGAAAACTCACTGCACAAGTGAGAAAGATTTCTTCCTTCCCGTGATCTTGCCAATCGCTTCTCTCACCTAGAGCGCCGAGATGGAGCTTGCGAGCTCCAAAATCCAATCTTACAAGTCCACAACACTTCCTCAAAGAAACCTTGCTGTTCTGTCACCAAAAAGGGGCTCCGCCTGGGTTCAGGACTACAACTGCTGTTAAGAGAACTGAACTAGAGCACGAAAATTCCCAAGTCTCCTGCTGACTGCAGTAACTTCTGGAGCAGATCCTTTATGTGTTTAGCATCATACAACATCTTGAAAGCTAAGGAAAAACATTTACACAGTATGGACATATGCCCTAATGTTAATGCATGTATATTCACTTTTATACAGTTTGATGAAAATTCATTCTCTAAGCCCCATGATTATTTCTGACCATATAAATACATCAGTTGCAGAGATTGCTTAAAGTGACAGATCTTCTCGCAGAAACGTTTATAGTAGCACTTCTACAGTCAGTTGGTCCGGTGGCTTTGCAACACCCATACACAGAGAGGGACAGAGGCACGATCTTTATGGGCCAGTAGCTGAGCTTACTGCAAAGCAAGGCTAATGTACAGTATGACACTTGCAGTAATAATACCAGTACCAATAAATTAGATTAAAACAATTCAGAAATACTTCCCACAGTATGAAAGCCAACATTCACAAAATCAGAAAAACTACTGTTCTATTCAGATTGCATGGTGGCAAACAAGAAGGTGTTTGCCACAGTACAGAATCAATGCACTTTCAATGTCCAGTATTTACTAGTAGGTTGTGGCACACTGATATTTAATTGCCATACAAGGATAAGACCCTCAGACATTTTCCTAGGAACTGTTGTGATTATCAGTCAGAGGGTAGAGAGAGATCCACCGTCAAAAGTCTGTAGCTTTCTCACTTCTTCACTTGGGAATAGATGAAAGTGGTTGCTTTATTCCAACAAATGGCAGATGTTTCAGTTTAGTTAGTCATGCAGTTGTTTCATGAATAAGATTAATTGTATTTATGACATCCATGTTTTTGCAAAAGAGAGCAGGTAGTTTATTTCTGGTTTTAATACTTCCCTTCCATCAAAGGGGGCATACCAAGAAGCGTGGTCTGAAAGCAAAGCATTACGACCTCTTAAAATGCAACTCCAGGTCAGCTCTCCAAGTGAACGTAGAATCGCTAGAAGAGCATCCACTTAACAAGTACAGAATTCACACGAATATTCTGAACAAGAGCAAGAACTTTTATGGAATGATTTGTGAGATCAGCCTCACATCCCCCCTCCCCCCCCAAAAAAGCGGCCCAAGTTTCATAAGCGTAAATAATACCACTTTTTTCTTTTTTTTATAATGAAAGGGTAAACTTAAGCAAAAGTGGATATTCTACAAATTAATTAAAAAAATAATAATTGAACACATAACTATTCAGTGTTTCACGCAAAACTCAATCATTCGTAGCTTTGATCAGGCAATCAGAGACAGACTGTTAAAATAGGGCTCCAAACCGAAAAACCACTGCACTTGCACTAAAGCTGGTTTCAAAACGGCACTTCTAACTCCACTGGCCTCGAAGTGTTTTTACAGTAGTTTCAGTTGTCCGACATGAGTTACAAGCTGCTGTTCCACAGTTAGCGCCACTCTTCTCCTGCAAAACATACTTCAGGCTTTCAGACTACTCTTCTCTTGTTCCACAAAACTTTGGAGTGAAGAGCTGACAAGTTTATCCAACATCTTTAGTTTTCCTCTAGACTGCATTCCTAGGTGTGCCATTGTGAGTCACTGCTTTCATATTTGAGGTGCTTGATTGATGGTTGCAGATTCTGTGGGAAGCAACACCCACTTCAAAGACTTCATGAATGGCTTTGCGGAAGCAGTGAAAATTGTAGTCAATCAGACCTGTCAAGGAGAAGAAGGGGAGAGAAAAAACTATGCTCAGCTTGGCACATTTACATAATCAATAGAGCTTGAAAATCAACATAAAAATGTTTACTTTAACCAGCAGTTATTTTGCTCCTTATTTTAGCATTAATTTGGATTCAGAAGATTTAATGATGCTTTACTGATGCCAGTATTTTTTTAGAGTGTCTCAGTTTCTAGAAAAAAAAAGTTATTCGTTTGGAAGACAAAATGTATATTCACAATTAAACAGCAGGCATGGGGACAACAGAAGACTCTACCCTCAAGAAACACGCTAGTACAGCACAACCACCACCTGAATGTTATCTTGCACTCTGTGTCACTGACTCATATTCTAACTGTGGTGAGAAAAATTTTGAGATCAAATACAGTAGAGTTATTAAAAAAACACATCTGCTTTTTCTGTTTTTGAAATGCCAAGGTAAGGGCTATCACCATTTAAGTCAAATACTTTGAAGTTAGGGCCTACACTGTAATTCCTACCCATATCATACACAAGACCATTCATACCATCATCTCCTACTGGTTAGACCTGCGATGCATTACTTTGTTCCTACCACATACTAGCCTACCACCGTTGATTTCTTCAATCACGCATTAAAAAAAAATTACATCAGCACGGGACATGATAGAGAATATGGCTATTCACAATGCAGCAGTTGTCAAGCACAACGTAATAAGCATTGCTCCGTTGTAGCTATTTCACTATACTGCGTGGTAGTGACACAGGCCACGTTAGCTACACAAGTCATTTCAGCAGGAGACAGCGATTAAAATGATGATTCACAAGAATAAAAGTAAGACCTCTTTTTACCTATCTCTAGGAAAGGAGAAAATTAATCCCAGAAGAAATTAAACAAATTTATTTACGCAAAGATCAAGCTGAGTTGTAAAGTCATATTAATATTTAATAGTTAATAAAAAACAGATAAAAGTGATTCAACGGGCGTGAAGTCCTTACCTTTGCGCTCAAAACTCTCTTCTCTAAGAATGCAAACTAATGCCAAAAACTTTGTTACCTCCTTTAAGTACAGGACCGTTGTGTTATTGAGCTTGATAATTGCCATTGACTCTTTATCATAAGCACTTCCAGTGCCATCTTCCTTTAACCTAAGAAAGACATAATCTAGTAGACATGCGTATGTAACCTTCAAGACAAATACCTGTTAAATACTGTTAAAAGAATATTACTCATACTGAACAGTGACTAAGTGAAGAACTTGCAATGCACAAACACACCATTATCACACTGTAAATTTCTCAGGAACGCGATATCTAAACAGAGTAGAGGCCTTCACTAGGTACCATCTTTGTAAGCAGCTAAGAGCAAGCTGTGAGAGTGCCTTCTTTTGATATCAGAATTAAAGGCTGCAGCTGTTTAGTCAATACTGTTTCCAGCTTAAAGCTGAGCATTTTTAATGGAGGTAGTATAGTAGTTAATTATAGCATAGTTTACCCTCAAACCAAAAATCACTGCTACTCACTGTCTCACCGAGTTTACAGTGTCACAGTTAAGGTATCGAGCGATTGGTCTGAAGATTCGAATGCAGGACTTGTACACAGAAATGTCAATGGACTGGCACCTCAGCGAAAATTTACTCTTAGTAAATTAATACAAATGCATCCTTTGCGAGGGTGGGGTGGGGGAGTGTAACAAGGAGCGGGACGATTTTGGGTCTTAAGCTGAACCAGCTTGCATTTACAAGAAGGATTAGAATGCTGCTTTCTATCTGCAAGTTCTTAGCACTAAATTACCATAGAAGCAAAAGGCATCACGAGCTACCTCTAAGCACTCACTCCTCAAAAAACCCTAGAAGCCCATTACAGAACCCTGGGCTGACCCATCAGGAGACAGACCATTGCAGCATTTCTTGGCAGCACTGTATTTTTCAGGCTACAATGACAGTTCTAAAATGAATTACCACTTCTCCGGAGCCACTTCAAAAGTCCTTCAGGTAGTATAATTCAGCTACAAATTTTGAGAAAAAAGCACTGTATGCATCCCTTGGAAAAAGTCAGCAAGAGCCAACCTGAACATGCAAAAGCTGTACCATTCAGGTAGCAGCAAGTCTCAAAGCAACATGACTGCAAGTAAAACTGATGAGCTATGGCAGGCTGTTGACTCCAGTTCTTTGCAGGTATTAACATACTTGCACCTACCATGCCAAACAAGGCACAGCAGTATTCACATTTTACATGAAACACTTGACCTTTACACATGTCAGATGGCTCTCTAAGGCCATGAGTGGAGGGAAACAAATTGAGTACAAGTCCTCAATCCAGCTGCCAAATGATTGGGCTTTCTTCTACTTTCTTATATAACCAATGGCCTCTATAGACCAATCAATAGCATCTTGCTGGACGACAAAGCTAGCCCCACTTGCACAGTTTGCAATCTATGCTACAACTTTTAAGGACTTTTTTCCCAAGAGTATTCATCACTTACCCATATATACAGGAAACATCTATCACTACATCAATCATGTCACAGCACAACTCGTAGGACTGCATGTCCACAGGGGAACTGTCTGTTGCAATGTAGATTTTGCTGACTACATCGAAGAGAAAAGCTTTTTCAATGCCTGAATTCTTCAAAAAGAGAAAGAATTTAGATGAGATTTCAAAATAACTGCATTAAAAAAAAATTCAAGTAGAATTCATACACTGTCACATTCTTAATAGCAGGAAATGGTTTAAATATAACCAAACTCAAAGCTCAAGGCTATCAAGATTTAGAGCACAGAGTTTATAAATACAACACCCTTGTTGCTATAGTACATATGAACATCCCCCTCCAGCACACAAAAATAAAGCTGGGGACTTAGAACTCTTTTCGGTTTATTATTTACCAGATCATAGTGAAGGTTTCATTTTACTATGTCTCCAGAACCCAAACTGAGTAGCTTTCCTCTTCCATGGTTCTATTAACTCCAAAAGAGCCATACGTTCACATCCACCTGATGGACGAGGCTCAGAGATGAGTTACTTCATAGAAGTATGCCAACACTTAAATTTTATACTTGTAGTGTCTTGGTAGTTCTGCTTCTGTGCAAGGCAGCTGTCGTTTAGTTTAATATGCAGAGCAAACAAAGTCAGCTTCTGAACTTACAACTACACAAATAGTATCACATCATGGCAGTTGGGGGTATTGAAAAGCATCAAGCCAGTGCTTCCATCCCATTCGTAACGGAGCACTTTGGCAAAGCGCACATGCTTGTTCTAAGTTCGGAAGCTGTTAAGCAAGTAACCGCATATACACCGTGGATTTCTGACAAAGCTTAATTTCTAATTCATGCACCACAGCATTCCTTATCACTTCTTCCTAGCTAGTCTAAATGCCCAAGGCAGCGCCCCAAAGACGTTTAGATGATCCTTTTGGCATCAGGGCCATGCTCCATACCCTCACGGCACTGAGCAGGGTGCGCATTCACGTGCTCTTTACCTGCTTGCCCAGCTTATTACAGACAGTACTTTACCAACACAGGAAACAAGCATAATACAGTAGCACAGGGTGACATGTCTGACTCACACAGCTCCTCTCAATCACAACCGTTTTTTTTCCATGTTGCCCACATACCTGCAACAGCCTCAGACATAATTTAGACGAGACAGGCTACTTCAGCCTTGTCTCTATAGTGATATTTTAGTTGACTTGAAGTATATAGCAGCAAATTTCTATGTCACAAATCCTATAAGAAACGCAAACACTGTAAGAGCTATGGGCAAAAGCCTTACAGGCCACGTGAAATAGGCAGTTTAGCTCAAGGCCAAGTTCACACTGTGAAAAAAGTCTCTTGCCGGTGCAGCTACATTAGGCAGTATGTTGTACTGGCAGAAAATTTCCATATCAATGGCTATAACCAGCCAAACTGGGCTTTGTCATATGTACAGAAACACACACAGAGCACACACCAGTACAATACAGCTGTAGTAAAGAGCTTCTAATGCAGACAACTGGGCCAGCTAAGTACACTGACACCAATGCCACCCGAACCTCCCAAAGGCAGATCTAGCCAGCCTTCCTTAGCAGAAGGACTTGCTTTACTGTTCCGCAGATTTCTCTCAAAGTCCTGTTAGGTTAACACTTACTGATATAAAGATATTTAGTAGATTTTCCAGCGTTGGCAGTTGGGGAATGAGCTTCTGTACCACTTTACTGAAGGCTTCAAATATTGAATGGTCATAGATACTGGTCAAATAAAAGCTGAGACAAGGAAGAAGGGAAAAGGAAGGAAAAAGAACAAAGATTCAAGAGTATTTCAGAATTACAACAGAAATGTTAAACCTATGTTTTCTAACATCAGGCCTGATGATTTTAGCTGGAATGCCTTTATCACAAATATACTTGGCCACTGGACCAAGAACCTGACCTCTGAGAAACATGAAACAGACTTCCCCTGTCCATGGAAGATGGCAGAACAGAAAGAAAAATTCGCACATGCTTTCACAGCACACTTAGCCTACAGAGCGTTTATCGCAAAGGTGCTAAATGCTCAACTACATTTCATCAAGTTTCATTTTGGGCCTTCCATTTTTTTCACAATAACACCGAGAGATACTGGCAATACTTAAAGGCTCCACAAGAATCAAAATAGCAGTAAAACCAAAGAAAAGATAGTTCATTTTAAAGGTGTCAGTAGAAGACGTCTTAAAGCAGGGCCAAATATCATGTAAGAGACTAAGCTTTTGAAAACAAACACACTTAGAAGTCAGCAGTAGCCAGGACTAAAAGGCAGGCAGCTTCCCTTCTCCTTCCCCTGTCCCTCCAGGCCACACATACAAATTTGGCCCATTAAGCTGAATGAAAAGTATGCAAAAGTACCTCACATTATCAGTAAGTTTACAAATAAATTGCTGACCGGAATCCAGTACAGTAGCCTACCTTATTTAAGTTGGCCTATCTGCTGAGGCCTGGCCATAAATTCAGCAGTGTATTTTATAACAAGAGTTTGCACAATATTAAGAAACTAACAAGGCCTTGCTCCCGTTCAACCACTATTACATCTAAAAGCCATTAACCTGTATGCATATCAGCAACATTAGAATCGCATATGCCAGAATCTTTAACTCACCTAAGGTGAAGTTTTTCAAGCCCAGCATCCGTGAGGTCATCATTAGCTCTCTGATGAATATCCCTCTGAGTTTCTATTTTATGGTCATCTGATAAACCATCAACTTTATGAATAAAAACTTCAAAGTTCATTTCTGGGTTGACCTTGTAGGCTTTTGAAACTGTAATGTGGAGTCTTGTTAAAGCTTCCATGTAGTCATCCTGTAAAT